GCTGCCCCCTCCCTGGCAGTGTTCAAGGCCAGGCTGGATGGGGCTTTGAGCAACCTGGTCTAGCGGGAGGTGTCCCTGTCCCGGGCAGGGGACTTGGAACTAGATGGTCTTTAAGGTCCCTTCCAAAACCAGCCTGTGATTCTATGTATCTCTAGGAATTTATAGGGACTGTGCCTTCCTGCCTGCAACTCAGAAAAAGCCCTCTGAGCCACAGAGGTTTGGTTCATTCAGTCCCTGCATGTGTGGGCCATTTGGAACAGGCTGGTTTTCCAGCTTTTTAGAAAAAAATGAACAGGTGACTGGGTCTCATTTGACCTGTAGGCCAGAACTTTGATGAGGTCAAGAACACAGAAGAGAAGAGGAGAACGTGCAGGATGAGCAGCCAAATCAAATAGAAAAATTGGCTTTGTTTATCAGCCTGTTAATCTGACAATGGCAGATGGAGGACAGAAGAGGAAAAATGCATTGAAAGATTGGAGCAGATACTGTTTTTCTCCTGATAATTGAAATTTGCAGTTATTTTTGCCTTTGGATGTTTGTGTAAATAGACAGCAAAATGTTCAGAATGGAAAGAAGGGCAAAAGTAAAAATACTGGAATTGAAAAATAATCATTAAAATTACTGTGCTGCATCAAAAATTTAGGTCATAAAGTAACTATTGGGCAGTAGGAGCCTAGATGCCTGACCTCCTCTTATCTTGGGTGTTACTGTTCCAAAGCAACACATTGCAAAGGACACTAGATTTATTGAAATTCTTCAGCCCCATCTTTAGAAGATAATTGAGTGAGTGATTGTTCATATGTCACGGTAAATTTAATCATGAAAATATCAAGTAATTGTTTGTTCTAAAGATAAACAATGTTTTGAGAAAATGAAGTGGAATATTTAAAGCCATTTCAAAGAGATGTCATTGAAATTAACTTCCAGCCAGTGATAAAATTCTAGGTACATTGCCTTCCTGTTTATTTTTCAGTATTTAGACTTTTTTTATTATCTTAACTTTCACATGTAAATAGAATTAACCCAAAGATACGTTGATAGGCTAGCCGTGTTTGAAGTGTATTTCCAATCTTCAGGTAAGTATTTAGATTGTTAAAAGTTAAATTTAAACTGCATTTATATCATGTCTTTGCATTTAACATTTACTTTTATGTTCCAAATAAATATTTAATTTGTCAGCAAAAAACATTTTAATGTACTTGTAAAATTATGATGTTTCCCATCTAGAAGTTATGAATGGTAAAACCAGCAGAGAATGACTTACGTGATGGTAGCTTTTTTCACCTGAAAAATTGCTTGTAGGAAAATACATAAAATGCATTGAAGGGGCTGTGTAGAAATACATTCCATGAACTTTACATTACTCTCTCAAGGCAATAATTTCAAAAGACAATTATTTACATAATGTTTCTTAATTTCTTGAAATAATTTGTTTGGTAAGAAGTTACCTACATATGTGATTTTATGTTGGTCTTTTTGTCTCCTGTAGGTGTATGTAAATAGCTATGTAGAAGGGTATATATACACACAAGAGTGTGTATTCCTTGATGAAAGCTACTTCACTGATACTTTATTGCAGTGTTAGGACGTCTTAGAAACAGTGAGATTTTTCTGTTCGTATATATTTTCTTTGCCTCTTTGAGGTGGAAGGGTGGGCTAACCAGAAATACTTGCTAATAGTCCAGCACCTGACTGTTGATCTGACAGGAGTTTCTGCTGCATCTGCACACACTTGCACAAATTTTGTTTTTACAAGTTACTTGAAGTGTGCTCACATTGTTCGTGATGCCTCCTGCTTCACTGTAACTCCAGCCGTTTCTCCATAACGCTTATCCTACACCACTGTAATTTATGTCACTATTCTTGCACAAGCTCAAAGTGGATATTCTTTTTATCTAAAATGTTCAGAGTGACTCTGTTGTTTTGAAGCTCTCTGTGGATAATAACCTGGAGAGCTCATATGTGCCAGTGTCCTGTTTCAGTAGAAAGGGGATATGCTTGTTCAACAATAGCTATTAAATCTCTTGCTTGCTGTATTCACAAAAAGCATGATAAAAACAAACTTAACAATTTGAGTTCTTGAAAACATTTACGCTAATGTTGACTAAAGGTCTTTTATATAAATATAGAATCAATATTTTGTATGTTTAAGTATGCTGGGGAGAGATGCTGGATTCTGTTACTGTAAGCTATTAAATATACACTCCTGGTTTATATTGTTACAGTGAAAATTTGAATGATACAATACCCCAAGAAAATATTTTTTTCAAAGTTTGTGTGTTATTTCATCATTTTATCTGATGAGAAATACAAAGTGAGTGTAGATTGTAAAACTTCTTGATAGGGTAAATGCTTCTTGATACAGGAATAAATCTCTTAGGGACATTTTGTTGCCATAATCAAATGGAATTTATTTTTGTGTGTGTGTATATATATATATATATAAAGTGTTATATTTATTCAATAAGTATCATATTTATTATTTGGCATGTAGCTGAGTCACTGAAAATTGTTAGTTGTTTATGATCTGGAGAAATTATTAGTCCTTGATCTGTACACCCACTCCCCACCCCCGTCTCTTTTTGTGGGAGGGACGACACAGCTGAAACAGGTCCTGGCTCTCTGATGCTAGTTTCTGACTACACCATAGTTCCAAGCAGGGCCCAGGGAGAAGGGCTAGACTCTGAAATCCCATGGTATGCTCATCTGGCGAAATCTGCTGACCCTGATCATTTGAACCGCTAGAGCCTTGTGTGGGGTTTGGTGAATGCTGGCTTGAATTATGTACCTCTGTCAGAAGGGAGAAAAGCCTGGGGTATAAACAATTGTTTTGTTCTTCTGAGAGAATTGGTTCTCTTGGATCTCTGTCCGGGTCAAATAATCTGTTAGTGTGTTCCCTCGTGCACATGCTTACATGTTAGTTTACTCCTGCAGTGCAGCAGGTAGTTTCTCTGGTATGTTTTCTCCTGGTTGAGTTTTCCTGAGGCAGTGCAAACAAAACCGTGCCTGCTTTTGCACTTTCTGCTATCTGTGGTCCTTCAGTACCATCTTAACAGGTCCTGCACCTTCAAACACTTCCCCACTTCCTTGTGTTGTGTGCCAAACAACGCGTCTTGCTGTCCTCAGTGCTGTAAAAATGCTGATCTGTTGAGCTGTGGCACACGGATCTCTGGTGCAGGCATAGTTTCTCTCTGAAGCAAAGAGCTTTCTTGAAGTCACAATGTATGGAAAGAGTTTTAATAATTAGAAGGTTTGGTAGAAAATACCCCATGTAACATAGGAACAAACCAAATCTGGAAAGCCTTTCTACCTGAAGAGTCTCAAGGGCTTTTATTGAAGGGAAAAATAAAAAAAAGCCCTAGCCAAGCAGCTCCCCAAAACTGAAAATGTTACCTCTTAAAATGTACATCTTAAAATGACAGCTTTCTCCAAAATTTGTAGTGGAAGAAATGCCCTTTAAGCAAGGAGGAAAACTGGAAAGGCAGTTTGACAGGGTTGTTTTGAAAGGATTTAATTGTGACTGTCCTTTGTAAGGATAAAGATGGGCTTAACCCAGTATCTTGAGTGTAGCGTTCCTGAGCCTTTTCGAGTATAGTAAAATCTAAATATGAATGTTGCTTCAGGCATCTGTCGTTAGAAGCATGGTTCTGAGGATAAGTACTTTTTGGCAGATTTAAAAGCTGCAGGCATTGTGGTTTCAAATGCTTAATCTGAATTTTGCAGCTTGGATCAGTGAAATAGTGAGGAATGGGATCTGATCAGTTACAAAAGAGGAAGCATTTTAGAATGGGTACTGTGACCAAAGCCAAGTCTCCTAGGTTACTTCAAAGAATTTTTGTAAACTGAGACTCCAGATTGTATAGTACAATTTTGCACTGTAAAAAGCAATTCCTTCAACCTCCAGCACAGTGAGATTTTAAACAGGGACATCACCGGCTTCTGAAGATACTGAAATTTTTCTGGCAAGCAAAAGTTCTGAGAAACATGATGTTCTCCCATCGTATGCCAAGACTTCATCTTGGATCATCCTTTTGTCTGAGAATTTAGCAAATGGCTCCAAAGTCCAAGCAACGTTTGTATCTTCAGCAGCAAGGCTTTATTACTAATTCACTTTCTGAAGTTTAGTTATTTAATAAAATGTCCAGATGGATTTTTTGAACAGTGATTAGGCTGCCAGCAGTAAGGTTCTCATGCAACTAAACTTGCATTCATTTTTATGAAATTTAGGGAAGTGTGTTCAGTTAAAATGAACTCTCATGTGCTAATAGTTTGGTAATGTACTCGTTCTTTTTCTTGCTTGTGTGCCAGTTTCCACAGCCTGGGATTTACAGGGTCTTGTTGAGATGTACTGAACCAGAAAAATTCTACTGCCTTTTTTTCTAAAGAAAAAGGCAGATAATTTGATAGAACTTACTTGTTTATGGTGAGGCTACTTAATCGTATTCTTGTCTCTCTTTTAGAGAAATATGATGCAATATGGGAAAGCTATGTTCCATATATTCTGAAGTTCCCAGTCTCGCTAAATAATATGCTACTGAACTACTTTTTCTCTTAGATAACACCAATTTGTGTAAAACGTTGGTGAATCAGATTTCTTTCTTTAGGAGATACCACAGTGGAGTCTGGGAGACAGAAAGACTCTTAACTGATTTTGTCCCAAACTAAGCAATTATGTTTAGGAAGGCGAGGACAGGGAGAGGGTTTTAGGTGATAAATGTTACTGCCTGACAGCTCCACTGCCTGGATTTAGTGGAAAGCACATAAGAGGAAGTCTCTTTGGCTGTGCTGAGATAATGCTGTTGGCACAGGAAGCATTATCAGCAATGTTAAGTCACATTATTTGCTATCTGAAGAGTTAACCACTAAGTACCATTGAATGACAAAGACGATCTTTTGCTTAAAATAATTTGGTGTCAGAGATGTGTAAGAGGCATTAGAAACACGGTTACTATAGAGTTTATTTAAAGAACTATTTAATGTATTTTAATTTTCTTTTACAGAGTATTAATATTAGGAGCTTCAGGAGGAGTTGGTACATTTGCTGTACAGGTAATATAAACCAGCATGAAAAAAAATTTAACGGAAGGGAATTGAGAGAAGGAGTAGTGAAATAGCAAGCTACTGATGGATCTGTCCGATCGATGTGACCGGTATATCCAAAAGTGAAATATTTTCAGATTTATTGCTTTCCATTTATTACGTTGTATTAGTTTAAAGTAGGAAGCAGAGAAAGGATTTGTGAGTGCAGGCTGTGAAAGTCTGGGTGCAGGAATCCCATCTCTCGTTGGTGTAACTTGAAATACATAGCGTGTTTCCATTATCTTTCAGTCAGCTCTGCTCCGTAAATATGAAAAGAACTTGGTGTATGAGTAAAAAAACTGATGGAGTATCATCTACCATAACTGTTGTGGGTGGTCAAATGATATGAGAAGCACCAGGCTTTTATGTGCAGTGTATGTAAAGCACAGTGGCTTAGATTAACTTTCCCTCACTGTCTTTGCCCTGCTGCCCTTTTGACTGTCTTCATTCCAGTAGCTCTAAACCTTGGAGAATCAACATGCTCTTTTATTGATCCATTAATTGTGGAACATCCTCTTTTCATGCTCTCATTTAATTTGGGGATTTTGATTCTGATTGGTGTCATCTCATGCCGAAAATATTTTTCTTGAGAATATGAAAAGAATTAGAGAAGTTGGGCGATTGCATCACTGTGTTCCATGTTACTAGACCATAAACATAGTGGTTTTAGAGAGGCTTACAGGAGAATTTTTAGTGGTATGCTATTTGCCTGATCCATGGCAAAGCAGGTGGCTAAATTAGATCAGTGCAAAAGGCTGACCAGCCACTGACTAGCTGTGATTTCTACCTGATTAATCCTGAGTAAACTACATTAATTAATCTGGAATAAATGTAAAAAATACTACTGTGAATAAAAAAGATTACAAAAAAGCTAAATAACTAGCAAAAATCCTTTACTTTGCTATAGCTTTTGGCGTAGAAGATAATCTGACATCTTCACTGTGGTAAATTAAAGATGACTTCCTTCTTTTTCTCGTTACTAATATTTAAGCTATCTACAGTGAGATTGATATATGAAATACTTAATAAGCAGGTAGGAATATAAAATATTTTAATTTTAAATATTTAAAAATATTTAATGGTTGATCTGGTGACAGTTTTGTCGATTGGTAACTTGGACAATACTTCTTGGTACATTTAGCTGGCAGATTCAGATGGCAAACAGTATTTTATCTGAATCCTCATTCATTCACCCTCCTTCTTCCATACCAACTCCTCCTCCCCAAAAAAACTCCTTAAATATTGATAAATTCTAACCTTTTGTCTGTGGGATGTGTGACGAGTTATCCTCTCTTGGAACAGTCTCCCCACTCCCTACTAAAGGTGCTCATTTATTACATAAATATAGTGAGCCTTTGGCTTTTTAAGTTGCTCTCAATGTTTCACTAAATTTTAAACTTTGCACTTTTTTTTTAATACTTGTTTTTTAGCTGGTGAAGGCCTGGGGTGCTCACGTGACAGCAGTTTGTTCTCATGATGCCAGCACACTGATGAAAAAGCTTGGAGCAGATGATGTGATTGATTACAAATCTGGAAATCTGGAAGAGCAACTTAAAACGTTACCCTTGTACGTATTTGTATTGCTTAATACTGCAGTGAAGGAGTTGGCAGTCAGACCTTCTGCCTTTTGATTGCTTGACTCCAGTCTATCAGAACTCCCTCTTTTTTTTTTTTTTTCTTTTCCTCCCCATTTCTAAAGCATTTCTAAAGTTACTTTGTGAAGCAAGTTCATCCCAGCCCTTTTTGAATTGAGTTTGCCAAGTGAGTATCCCAAGCGCAAGTTTCATTCTAAGACTAAGCCAGTTAATTGGGCTTGTGGAGGCAAGCTCCCTTTCACATGCTTCTCCTCAATGACTGTGATTTGAACAGTTTTGTCAGCTTCCATCCAAGGATCTTGGAGCATTTACAAAGCATGAATAAATTAAAATAAGTCTCAGAAATTCTGTGTGAGGTTAGTAAATAGTAAAATTGATCTTCTAGAGGGAAGATCTATGTCATAAAGAAGTTAAGTAACTTGCCTGAAGGTCTTTAGCCACTGTGTAGCTCAACTGGAAGTAAATTTCTCTTCTGTAACATTGAGTACGGCTGCTTCTGATAAACAATCACACTTATCTTGTCACAGCAGTTATGTTTAAACTAGCTTGGGGATTTTCTCTAGAAGTGAAGTCTTTTTTGCTTTTGTAATCTTTCCATCTGGTTAAACCTAGTCTACTGTGACTTGTATTTAATATGGTATTTACACTGCTCTTTTTAGCTAGATTGAATTAAATTTCTGTGAGGGGAAATAGAAGCTGTTCAATCTATGAAAGAATCTTACTGCTAACTGTGCTAAGAAGGCATCTGCCCTTTAACTATGGTGTGATTGTCAGCAGGCTTGAGGTCAACTGCGAGGGTACCGGCACTGCCTGTACGGGCAGGATGTGCAGCAATAAACTTGGCAGTTTGCAAGCAGTGCTCGCAAATTTGCCTTTGTGCAATTCAGCATCTTAAATGCCAAATACCCATTCTAGCAAGTGACCCTTTTTAGGAGATACCAACAGCACTGTCCTAGGGTACAGTTTTATGACACAGCTAAGCTGATCAGTCAGGTATACAGAGAGGGATGTTCCTACTTCCCTCCCCTTTTCAGTTGTACTGACTTTTCAGACCCCATAGTGAGCTAGTTTTTCTTGGAGCATTAGTTTTCATGATTTTATTTTCTTCTTTTGGCAACTGTTAGGTTGACTGAACTCTAACATGAAATTACATCCTTGGAAGGCAGGCAGGAAAACTGTCTTTCCAGAGATAAGAACTTTTCTATTTAATTTGCATAAATTCCCTCCTGTTTGAGGGTTATTTAGATGAGATCTATGTGTATGTACATATCCATTGCAAAGCTGGAAATTGACAGATGAAAATGAGAATGAGCTGTGCCTCTAATAGAATAGGTGCATAGCTCCCTGTTGCCCTATTCAGCCTTTACAGTCTCCCATGCTGGGATGAGAAGGATAGCTGAAACTGTGGCGTGTTGCCAGAGGCTGCTATGCAGCATTCCGTGGGGGGCAGGTTTTAGATTCTTTGCATTGTTAGATTCTACATCAAATAGGTAGATGCAAAGAAAAGCACTGTCAGTAGAGGTAAAATGGCCCCAAAACAAATGAGGAGGTCAGAAAAGACTTTTGGAAGTGAAGCCAAAAATTTGGTCACAGAAAGATGTGAGGAGATAAGGTTCAGTAGAGTAATTTGTGTATGTAACTTTGGCCACTGGAGCAGACTTTCAGGTGAGTACAGCATGTACAGATGTTCCTGGTCAGGGTGTGAGTCCAAACTAGTTTTTACATGCACATACCATGTTGTTCAGTGCTAGGACCAGACCTCAAAACTGTTCCAGTAGTCTTAGTGGGAGGCCTGAAAAGATAGAGCTCTAGAAGGCTTTAAGCGATTGGAGAATGTAGTTGTGCATCTACGAGTCTGATTTTGGAGTTTTAAGTGCAGTTTAAGTTACCTAAATAGCCTGTGTCTGCTGTGCAGTGAATGGGCAGTAACTGTAAATTTAACTCCCATTGTGCAGAAAAGCTGGGGTTTAGCTGAGTTCTTGGGACTTTCTTGCCGCTGTCTTGCAGGCAGATTATTTTATTGCATTGCAGTGACATGTAAAAATGTAAACTATACCAAATTTCTGATATGAATTAGCTTAATCACGATGAAATTATTTTTCCCATATTGTGATTTTAAACCTGCTTTTTACATGTCTGCAGATTTGATTTCATCCTAGATAATGTTGGTGGATCCACTGAGAAGTGGGCTCTAGATCTTCTGAAGAAATGGTCAGGAGCAACATATGTTACCTTAGTGACACCTTTCCTGATCAATATGGACAAACTTGGAGTGGCTGATGGCATGTTACAAACAGGAGTCACTGTTGGTTCCAAAACTGTAAAGGTATTTGACAAAATCCTGTATTCTTTAATATTATGTATTACTCTGGTGGCTTCCTTTGTGGCTCGGTTGCTAGTCACGTGGCTCATCCAGAGGCATCTGTTGTATTTTCCTCATATATCATTAAGTATACTTCAGATGCATTTTTATTCTTTCCTTGTTTCTTGCACGGAGAAAGAAAAATGTGTTGGGGTGGTGCTGATTGGTGGATGTGGTTGTTTGGGGTGCTTTGAAGTTTTGATTCCTTATTGTGCTTTTCATTGTGGCCTTTTCCATACGGTCTCCCTAGTGAGTCCTGCTGACAGCTCGTGTTTCACAGTAAACAGAGCAAATCCCTGCCTCATTGAAGTGAGGGTAATTTTGCTACTTGCTTTAGGCTGGTCAGGCTTTCTCTCAAAACATTGTTCCATGACTGATTCTCTTCATCCTATTCCAGCACTGGAGAGTAATAAAAGTGGTTGAGGGTGGCTAGAAAGTCTTTCATCTCTTTCATGTTCATGTGTCTGGATGGTGATACTGATTTTTTTCTAGTTTTCATAAGTGGATCTTAAAACGATCTGCCAGTGGCCAGATCAGTGAGGCTTTTTAGAACTTACCTCTTTCTTCTCTCAACGTGTGTGCTTGCTCTCCAAATGAATGCTTTTCAAGCAGTTGCTATGGTATTCCTGTGACGGCATGGTTGAATGAGATTCTAAGTCCTGCACCACTACTTTCAAAGGAAAGCTCAAAAAATGAAAAGGCTGGGAAGAAATAATATTATTTCTTAGAAATAATATTATTTCTTAGTGTGCGTGTTTCCGTGATGAGGAGCATTGTATGCCATGTATTAAAAATCATGTCTCTTTGGCAGATGATGACTCTAATTCCTGTAATGACTTACTCAGAGGAGGTGCTCTTGACATGTGCTTGTGAGATCTTCCCAAAGTGCTTTTCATGTGAGCTGCCATCTGTCATTGGGCAGTGGTGACTTTGGCAGATGCGATGGTGGAAAATTTAGTCACTAACACTGAGGTGGAAGGTTCTAAATGTCACATTGCTGTCTTTATTTCACCCCCTTTGTGAATGCGTGTAAACATACAGCACCATTTCTCTCTTATGTAGCAAATGATGCTGTTTCTAGCTGCAGAGACTAGGTGGTTGTTTTTCTCGACTAGCTGACTTGTGCAATTGGACACAAAATTCACCCCTGATCCTGTTGCGATAATACAACATCCCTGTCTGTGCATTTAATCCACATGATGCTTAGGTGACTTTTTTTTCAAATGCTAGCATATAATTTCCATGTCTTTTCCTTAAGTTGCTTCTCTAGTGCTTCTGTCATTAATTTTAGTTCCCATTTCAGCTTCCTTTCACGATATTTTAATATATTTGTCATCTTTCTTGCAGCATCTCTTTAAAGGAGTCCATTATCGGTGGGCATTTTTTATGCCAAGTGGCCCAAGTTTGGATGAAATAGCAGTACTAGTTGATTCTGGAAAGGTATGTCAGTAATGGTTATTTGGGTATTTGTGCTGAAAGAGGTGCTGCTTTGACTCAAAAATGGTGTAGTTCACAATTAGGGAATAAAATGTTACGAGAATCACAGTGAGGAAAACTAATTAAGAATTGACTTGCTGCAGTTTCTAACCTGCCTTTTGCATGGAATTTAGGGGTTCGTAATCCTCGAGACTGTTCTGCCTTCTCCCTCTCCACCCTACCTGTTTTTGAAAACACAAAGCTTTCTAAGTTATGAGGAAGGAATGTCCAGTGATTGTTTATTTTTGCCAGTGGGAATCATTTAGCATGAACTCTGGTGTTGAAAATGATTATGTTTTAAGAGGCCTCATTTTGTTGGAATGAACATGGCTGTGTGTTATCTGCATATGCAAAACTGTTTAGCCTGGATGATCAGGAGTCCTGCCCATAATGTGCACAGTACTAGAATAATTCAGGTTATTGCATTGTCATAGACAATCTGAATTGGCAGAGCGGTGACAAGAATCTTGTGTTTCATTATTTCAGTGCTTCAGAGTGTAATGTTTGTGCTAGTTCAGCACAGTGACTTGGAAGGTTCTGAGCATTCATAAGCGTTTGGGGAATCTCTTAGTGGGCTTGGGGGAAAGGCATGAAATGGAAGATGGATTACGGCTTTTCTGATCTTTCCAGGTTTATGAGTTTGCTACAAAACGTGTGTGAGGATGAGCAGTTGCTTGCATGTTTATTGGACTGTGTGGTGCTGTAGGTCCTGGCCATGTCCTCTTTTGGATAATTTCATGTTGCCAAAATTCCCAGAGTAGAGTAGAGAACACAGACAACTGCTGTTAATCTTTCTCAGCAAAAGAGGAAGCAGAGTCTGCCATGACTGCTGGTAATTCCACTATGTGAACTGGTAGGCCATCTTGTGCTCAAAATTTATGCATACTAATAAAATTTAGGTATCTCAAAGTTTGAGTGTTGATCTCCTTTTCTGCTATGCGCTATGTTGTAGAGTTTGGAGAAGAATAAATAAATTGCTGTCGTTCTTAAGGCCTGACTGCTTCTAGTTGCCACCTCAGTGTTGCTCATCAGAATAAAAATCTTCCTGAATTCAGCCACTCTGATTCCTCTGTCGTGACCAGTGTGCTGCTGTCATGGGCAGTGGAAAGTCTGTGTTTCCTAAAAAATTACCTACTCATAAACAGAGGCTGCAGCAGCAAATAAGCTGTGATGAAGTGTGTTCCTGGCTACAGCTTTGCACCATTCTGCTTTGCATTGTGTCCAGTGCTGTAGGCATTATCCCATGGTCAGGAAAGAAACCCTGGAAGCTGCCCCTCATCCAGTCACATCACTAAATTATAGTTGTCTAAGAAACAGAAATGCCCTTGTCTTCCACTTACCATTTGTCCTGATTCTTAGCCAGTCACGACTTGTTTTGTGTTCTGCTCCTGCCTTGTATGCAAAACAAATGCAGAATATGCCCATGAAAGCGTCTTGGGAAACACCTGTTTATGCAATAGAGTTAGGGCTTAATTGGTGTTCTCTGCCTAGTAATCTGGACAGGTGATTTGTAACGCCGTTTGAAATGTACGCCATACATATATGAATGTCCTGATGTACTTTTTGTTGTAAGGTGATCATGAGGATGTTTGCTTCGACTTTTATTCTCTGTGCAAAAACAGGTCATCATGTCAGACTGCATAGTCATTACTCTAGCAGCATTTTACTCTATTTTGTAAAATGTTGTAAACACTCTTATCATCAGTATTTTATAAGACCCAGATGTGTTCCATTTAGACAGATGTTAATAGACTGTGACCTTTATTGTCTAGACACAAGAGTTCTCTTAAATGGACAATTTATCTGTTCAGAAGAGTAGGTGTTTGGAAAAAAAAGGCAGAAGAGAATTGCTGGAGGAAGTGTACTATAATTTCCCATAACTCAGTGAAAACAAATGTTTATGTCTATTCAGGAGAGAATAAATGAGAATTTAAAAAAACTCACCACGAAGCAATAAAAGCAAGAAGACTTGGGGAAGCCAGCAAAGTGAGCTCATGTAGTTGAACTTCTTAGTTTTGAGTGAATACAGTTTTGAGTAATGCAGGTTTAGTTATTTTGAAATTTCAGTAAATTGTCTTTTCTGTTACAGACATCTTAATTTTGAGATTGTAGGAAGTGTGAACAGGAGAGCCATTGTAGAGCTCCTGAAAATGAGAGGCTTTTTTCAGGAAAGTATAAATCATGAGGGGAGATTTCAATGAAGGAAATTAAAAAGAGCTGCTGGTTTAAAGAGATGATGTTACACTATGTGAAGCTTTGAAGAGCGTACCTCTGAAGCAGTTACAGATCCTATTGATTTGTCAGTGTTTTTTCTTTTAGTCCCTTTGCACCAACACAGATTTTTAGTTCTGATGAGTTCATCCTCTTCCTTTGAGAAAGCAAAAAGATTCTCAATCCTTCAGTGGATGAAGAATAAGCAAAAAGGGAATTTTGTTTAAAGATACTTGGTTTTCACACAGATGATCTTTGCAGAAAGGAATAGAGATTGCAAAATGTCAGCTACGAGGAGGAGTTCTTTTAACAGCCTTCTTTAACGGGAAGGAGAAAGAGAGGATTTGATGAGCTGGTAGTGCAAGGAAGGAGAATAATTTTCCTTTTGTAATTTATCTGCACATCAGCTCAGTTCTGGGGTTTATAAAACCATTTTCAGTTTATGAGCTGTTTTCTCTGCCTTGCAGCTGGACGTCTTCCAAAGAGACTATTGTGAGACTGAGGGACTGGGAGGTGCTGCAGCAGTAGTGGGCACAGAGAAAACAAAGTATTTCCTTGCCAAATTTTAAAGATACTGGCTACTTTCTAAACTGCTGGGAAGTGCCTGTTGTGGGCTGAACTCCACCAGTTAATTTTGAGCTAGCAAGGACTGGCTTAATGTGGGCTCCACCAAATCGGTTGATGAAGCGCATGTCAGAAGATGGGGATCTCTTTCCATGGCAGAACGTTCCTGGTGAATTACAAGGTTCTCATCTAAAGACAAGTGAAATCAATAGAGTCTTTAGTTCAGGACACAGATCTGCTGGCACACTGTCTGCTGAAGCATCGTCACTGGTCTCTGCTGCCAGCATCATCGCTGAAAGTCTTCTTAGGAATTAGTTTGATGTATTTGTGGTCAGTGTTGTGGATTTAACATTGACAGTCTTGGATTTTGCTGCTTGCTTAACTTTTTCCTCCTTTCTAAGGATGTGCCATTTAGTCCTTGGTGAAAATCTACCAAACTCATATAACTGCATAGGTTTGTAGAAAGCCTCTAACTTACAATTGAGCACTTACTTCGCCGTTTATAAAGGCAGGCTCAGAAGACTCCTTCGTGTCATAAGGGGGAGCACTAAGTATGTTTTATGTTCCCGCTGGACCACGATCGGATGTGGGTTAACATGCAGCCTTGCAGAAATTTGAGGTTTTAATTTTAATTCCATGCCATTTAAATGCAGTGCAGGGATGTGTGTGTGCAGTGTTTCTGGTGGCTTAATACTCTTCCCTTCAGAGCAGAGTTGCATCAGCTGATGGGTGAGAGTTGATTTTGCAGAAGGAAGGCTAAAGGACAAGTAGTCTCCGATCATGAATAGATCATTCTCTGTGTTGTTTGCTTTCTAGATAAATGTTACAGCACAGGCACACACACAAAAAGCAATTGCATGCCTATATTAATGTAATTGGTGTGTAGTGTTGATTATACATTTTGCTGAAGGCACTAGATGCTTTGGACTTAGCACCTGCTGTTGTGGTTTGGAGGACAGGATGCTGACTGTTCTTTGGCCCTGCTGCTGTTTTCCTGTGCACTGCTGTACTTAACCTCTTGCTACCATAATTTCTCCGTCTACTAATGAGGGCTAACGCCTTTTATCCACCTTTGGTGATGTGCTCTGAGATACCCTGTTAAAATGTGGAATTCAGTTGTTTTCTATTGCTAGTCTTTGCTATTCAGGAAGCAAACAACACAAATGGATATGCTCGACCACTTTGACATTACTTGGGTTTTGGGTTGTTTGGATGGCCATGATTTAAGATGGCTTACATTCCTCCTGCTAGCATAGGTTATCACAGCTTCTTCACTCTGTATCCTAACCTGTGTGTATTGACTTGCTTCCAATTCATCCTGTTACAGCTCTGCAGGTAACTTTTTCCCTGGCCCTCGTGGCACAATTGTTGCACATTTCTCTCATCTGTATGAATATCAAACAGCTAATGTTACATATTGAGTCCTTGAACGTTCTCCAAATCTGGCATCTCTAGATGTGGCCTTCTCTGCAGTAATTCCAGTCTTTATGGCTGTGCTAAGGTATCTTAAGGTACCCGAGGTGACTCGCCCTTGGGTGGTGCTTGCTTTACTCTCCATAGCTGAAAAAGGACACTAGGGTAGTGATTCTGTACTTAAATGTCTAAATTGACTAGAGACCAGTCCTTCTCCCCACGCTCTTTAGTCACTCACGCTCAATACGATGACCATCTTTCTCCATGCTAAATTGCAAAGCTTGCACTTTCTTTAAAATTTTCATTTTGTGTTTTCTTGTTGGAGTGCTTTTGCTTGCCAGGTTGGTTGGCTAAAGCCCAGAGATGTTGATCAAGAAGAGGTTGCCAAAAGCTCTGTTCAGTCCTTTCTCTTCCAAAAGAAACCTTTATCTGCATTTTGTCACAGCCACCAAAAAAACCACTGTGAATTTTATTAAAACACATCTGCTCCTCTTCCTCCAGGACATGGTAGCTTGCTTATGCTCTTTATCAAAGTGCTGTGTGATTACATCATGAAGTGTCTGTGAAGAAGACTAATGGAAATTTTGCATACTCTGGAGAGATAGGGTTTGAATATGTGAATTCACGTGAACCACAATGAGGTCTGGAAAAACTTCATCATATACCACGTATTTAATCAAATGTGTTGCCTCAGCCTGATGTAATTGCATATTCTGTAGAAAGTCAGCCCTGGTGTTCTGAGCTCTAGTACCCCAGTGCAGGAGGGAATTATGTCC